AATTCATATTATCGAACGTAAGAAAAAAATGCAAGAAAAAAGATTCACATATTAATTCTGTAGTGAAAAAATAGGAGCTTTAAGTATAGACAAAAATATTTCGTTCACTTTTTTATCATAATATTAGTAACTGTCGTACAATACATTATTATGGATGAATTGTATATATACAGGAGGGGGAGAGGGGGATATGTCTCTTGTATGCCATAATTGTATGTCAATACTTCACGTATGAATTTAGAATAAAGCAAGTAAAGAATATACGAGTACACATTTTTGACAATAATTAATACTAAAAAAAGCTTCCAAAGATTAAATCGAACAAGGGGAATGATAATGTCAATGAGAGCCGACACAGTTAATCGTGTATAATCCAATATTTATATGTCAATCAGTAATTATATATACAGACATTTCGACTCCGATAATTGTTAATAACACATTGGGGATGATCCAAATTTAGGATCGAAAATTCGTAATTACTGATTGACATATAAATATTAGATTATACATGATCAACTGTGTCGGCTATCATAGGCATTATCATTCTCTTTATTCGATACATTTTTGAGTTTTACATATACGCACACTTTAAATATTTTCTTTGATTTATTAAAACTCAAAAAAATGAAACTTAAACAAGCCTATTTTCATATGAAATTTTTATATTCACTCTTTGAAGTATTGCTATATAATTAAGAATCATCCTATATACGTCGGTGTTCCATGTTAAAACATCTGTTAAAGGACATTTTTATATGACGCAATTTAATGGAAACGTTATGAAATTGACGGAAGTATTTATCTATTATACATTTATCAGTATCTGTATTAACATTATGCGATTATTTTATGCATTACGTATAAAGTATTTTCTACATTCATGAACCAATTTAAAAAAAAAAATGATTGATATTTTTGATAGTGATATTTATAAAATATAAATATTGTACATGTGAAATAAAGGCACACGCAAAGTATTGTTTTACAAATAAAATAATATTAATAAAAAATATAATTTTTACAGTTAAATGTTCTAGTATGTATTTACAGATTTATCTTCGAGGCAATTTAATGTAAAATACATACTATATTTTGATATACAAATAAAGTGCAAATAATTTTTCTTCGTTATTTCAGTGTATGGTTCTACGAATCCCTAAACTCTATAATCATATGAAATGGAAGAGATGTTCGTCACATCTCAAAGAAGTTTCCAATGCGTTTCCTTAGACGGTATAGTATTTATTTACAGAATAGGAGCGACGACATACATTATTGTTTGTTATACTAATATAGTGCAATTATTAATTTCCGTTAATTAAGAATAACGTAATATTTACTTTAATGTCCGCAACAACGATAATACGGATATTCTAATTTTTTGCATTCGGAATTTACTAACTCGTCATCGTTGCGATTTTATATATGTATATATGTGTGTGGCAGGAAGTCGATTTCAAATTTCAAAAAGACAATATATAGGAGAATGATATATAAAACACTTTAATGAGAAAAACCGAAAAAATGCGTTTTATCGCAGTTGCGCGAGCGAGTATATAATATATCTATATATTTATATTTATATATATATATATGTATATATATATATATATATATATATAAGTACATATACATGTATATACGTATTTTGTGGGTTCGTGCATAGACGGAGATATATACACATATATGTAATATAGTTAGGAAAGAGAGGAGCAGGAGCAGGAGAGAAGGAAAGGAGCGATGGGATGACAGTACTTACACTTACAAAATAACATTATTAATATTATCGTTATTATTAAAATTAATCCACTTTTAAAATTATTTTTCATTCGTCCACCTGGCCTATGGGCTTTGCCTATTAGTATTAGATAAACTTCTCATTGCTATAGTGTTCTTACGGAATTACGTCTTCTTATAAAATATGATTTCATTACAATTATTATTTTTCTCCCCCTCTTCGCTTAATTTCTCTCAGATATTAACTGGCCGTGTGGTGAAGCGTAAGCTAGCAAAAGCTAAGGCGAGCGACACCACAAGGTCAATTAATTACTATCTAACGAACAATTTCATCTATATATCATGTACGATTATTAATAAAGATTACGAGCCCCCAATTTCTAGGTCTTTCCTCGTTTACTTCACACGAGATAAGAATTTTCGAAGAAGAGATTAAAAAGATGATTAAAAAAAAACAGGAATATTATAGATAAAAGCATTTCATAACACTTGCGGTATTTTTAGAAAGTTGTAGATTGATTGAAGAATATCGTGTGAAGTATTGGAGGAATTTAATCGATCCACATTAGAAAAGATGAAAATTAAAATGAAGAATAATATAATGATGAAATATCGGCTTAATGAGTTACAAAAAGGAGTAGGAGTACATCTTTGATCATAATCGGCATTATATCTAACTATCGTTACTAATGTTCTTATCATTATTATCCTTATTGGTTGATTTTCTATGTATACCATTCCAAATTTAGATACATTAAAAGGAGATTCTGTGAAAGAGAATTCATTAAATTTAGTAAAATTGAGTTGTTTGCGAAAACGCAAATAAATATTTTGAGGCTCCGCGTTTATATGTATACAAATAATCTTCAATCAATTGAAATGCAAGTAAATAAAATTGTGTCATGATATATCAAAGAGAAATTGTGTCAAAGCAACACTGCACGATTAACAAAGATAAATTGAAGCGACAAAATTTCGTCATGGATGAGAGGGAGTACATTAGTCTTGATAATAAAATAAATAAGGCGTTTAGTAGACTCTATACATTTCATAATAATAATAATCATCATCATCATGATCAGCATATCCGGACGTAAAAAGCACGAATCAGCTCAAGAGAGAAACGGAAAGGTCAAACCTTAACAGGATGATGAAGTTGAGAGTGCCATGAGGAGGCAAACAACGTGATTAAGGCGGATTCGTGAGTTTCGTACCAAATCGCTGTTCCTTACGTAGTACATATGGCAGTATCGGCATGATATACTTTTAATTACTCCAAGTCCGATTTTCTGCGACGGATCGGATTCTGCGAAAAGACGACGCTCACGTACTGTCGGGAAGGAAAAAAGAGATTCGAGGATCGGTGTGAGATTGACAAGAAATTATGGAAAATAAATGGGGACGACAGAAAGATAAAAACGGCCAAGAAAACACCACTAGGAGTGAAGTGGAGGAAAAAAAATGTTAATAAATAGGTGGACTCCGCGATACAGATCGATCGCGTGACGAATGTCGCCATGGGAAAAAATTCCGATACGAACAAATATATACGCATTTGTATCGCTTTTAGCGTGTTCCCTTTCGCTTTCTAATACAGCATTATGTCATCATTTCTGTCGTACTAAGGCGTGCGCGCTATACTCATACCGCTCTTGGAATAAAGAGGAATATATTTCTTCTTTTTTCATGGGTACTTTTATCGTGGGTACTTGTATCTGTCAAACGCAGCATCCGTCTTTCACTTTATGGCAACGTGACTTTTCATTAGAATCTTTGAGACAAAATAGACCCTAGATGTATCAACGGATGTATCAAAGATTTTTTTTTATCAGCATCAGAGTCGATTCGAATAATAAAAATGGGATGTTTTATCTCGCAGGTGGAAGGAGGATGTCCCATGACATCCCATTGCCGTGCAAAACATGATTTAGTAAACTTTACGAATTATTTCTATTCGTCCGATGCACCCGAGCATCAGAGAAATGAAAAAGATTCAATCTTTACATATGGATTCCTTTATGTTTTAAGAACTGCATTTTTATAAAAAATAAAACATGAAAATAAAACATGATTTGGAAGATGGAAACGTCGATCGCGGTATTGGTAACACACACGCATAGCTACCGTTTCGCGTTATCAAAAAGATATGGCACGCTAATTGAAAATTTATTGGTTTATTTTTATTTGCTAATTGTAAATTGGCCATTCATACAGCAAGGATCCCAATACAACTTGCCTGACGAATACGTGAAACATGAGATTCACAATTATTATGAATTTCAGTATTTATACATAAATTCTTGATATATTAAACATGATTTACATTACATGAAGCAGTTATCGAAGCAATAAAATAATTCAACTACGAGCAAGCTTACATATGTTTTCTATTCCCATTTAATCTTATCTTAAAAATGTGAGATTCTTCAGAATATGATCTGGGATACAACGAAACAAAGAGAGAAGCTGCGCGGAGAAAATACGTATAAAATCTTATATATGTTAGAAATAATAACTATTTTTTTATAAAGATATGTACAATATCTGCGACCGATCGACCAAATAAATTATAAATCATTTTATGCAACTTACATAATTTCTAGAAATGCAACATAAAATTTTTTGTCTTCCTCGGAATACATGATGTGGGTCAATGCGGTCGCGCTACGATTAATGCTTAACACATATTCTTAATATAGGCGCCCTTTTTATCCTCTCTGCAATCGATCAATATGGTCGACGATTCTCACCGTTTTCGCCTCTATCGGAACGTGAAACATGCAATAAAAGACCTAAATCTTCGTCGAACTCAGTATTAAATGCTCGTATCAAAGAAGTAAATATCGTAAATTAAAAAAAAAACAAAGAATAAGTAATAGCTGCGACGCGCGAACGAGGTTGCAGTTTAACTCGCTGCTCTTGCTGTCGGAGAGAAATCACGACGCCGCAACGATCCTTCTTCCCTTCCCTCCTTCCACCGGGAGACAGAATGATTAACGACATAGCAGCGGCGTTTATCGCCCACGAATTTTCACGCTTTCAGTCCTGTACATGTATACATATGTATACATACGCGTGTATATATGTATATATATATTTTATATATTTATATATATATATATATACACACACACACAACACATACACACACACAAACACACACACACACACGTTCTTTAAATATGTTTGTAAATGCATCTTGGAATTGGTGCAATCTCGCCGACGGTGTATACCTATATGTGCCATAGTCTCGTCGTTCATTGTCCGTCGCTTCAGTCACCAGCCAGGATGATTACACTCCGAAGAGGATCTTTCCAAAGATCAGCGAATGCGATTAAAGTCAGGACAACGAAAAGGAAGGTATATGTAGGATTGTGAAGGGCGAAGTGATCGGAGCGTCAAGCTGGAAAAGTTCGACGTTCGGTGAACGGTCTATCAGCCGAAAGCCGCAAATTCGTCTCTTGTCTCAAAATCTCTTACTCGCGTACATCTTTTTTTGAACACGATGAAATACAGCGCGTAAGAAAATACAGTTTCCTAGAGTCAAGAGAAATTGTAAAATCGAAAATCGGCCGACATTCTGAGCGACGTTCCTCGGGTAAAACTTTGCGTTTTTGGGAGAGAGTCTATAATGAGCGCGTGCCATGCGGTTCGCCGTAGTAATTGTTTCACCATCGACCAGCGGGATTCCAAAAGCGAGCGTTGATCGTCGGTGGGTTTTTACTCGGCTTGGCATCGTGAGATCGCGAGAGGAATCGGCGAAGTCGCCATCGCACCGCCATCACCTCAAGCGTAGAACTCTCGATTGTGATGAGGCGCGCCCGGCTTAGGGAAGGCCTGCGCCGCGGGCGATCTCCTTGGCTCGTCCAGGGCATACGAACCCTCGTCCTTCTTGCGCATCCGGTACACGATGAACATGACCACCAGTATCGCGCAGAGGAGGCCCACTACTGCGCCGCCGATCACAGCTGGAAATACAATCGAGATATCTTACATTCATTTTCGTATAAAAAAGTTTTGAAAACTTTTCTTGCGAAGAATCTTTTGATCGACATGTGCGTTAATAATCATCACGCTTTGTAAAATCACAGATCGAACTAAATCATGATCGATATTATATTTAAATAGATGCAAGATATAATCTATTTCGATCCTCGTGATATACTTTCGAGTTAGGAAAGCTTTGTCATTTTTCCACTCACCGGCTAGCACGCCTGGCTGCGCAAAGAACGAGCTGGCACGATCTCCAGGTTTTGGATTCATGATATAGACCTCGTGGATATCGTCGGTGTTGTGATCGTCATCCGTGCCTGAGGGCTCGCCTATGTTGACCTCGTTGCTGGGCCGGTTCACGGTTTCAATGGTCGTCTAGAAATTGGATACGGCTCGATCACTTTAATCCGTTTAATTCGCGACCCCATGCGAGAGAAGAAGCACGCGTGTCATTGAACAAAAATGTAGTAATCCGTTCAGAGCGGGAAGTGTCGCGTCAGCACTCTAATCGGGCAAATTAGATTGCACGGCTGTGCAAGAAGTATCAAGCGTAATATCGTAAAACGTCGCGAAAATATAATATACTGGTGCAATTTATGAAATGAAATGTAATTTCCTTTTTTTTTATTATAATTTCATCTTAAGCCGTGCTATTTTCGCACGACAACAAATCCAACGATTTATATTAGCAGGTTAATTACCGTCCGCAATAATTTTCACATTTTCACGGCACGTGCAGAATATATTCGTGAATGAAAAACGGAAATAGAAAGTAGAAATTTGTTAAACGTGGAATGTATGTTGGTAAGAATGCTCTAAATGCGCGAAATTGAAGAAAAAAAAAAGATTTTGTAAAATTATGTAATTCCAGGAACATCTCACGCTTACATGTTGTTTAGTCTTGACATTTGTCTCATCGATGACGTATGGAGGTCTCGCTTCGGTCGGCTTGCTCGGAACTTCTAATCCATTATTACCAGTAAACTCTGCAACAAAGTTACGGATGAATACATTAGAATTGATATCTTCTACAGATTAGATCACAGATCTGCGAGAAACTTTTTTTCAACGTTTTAACTAGTGCGTTCGTGAAAGCTGAAAATGAAATTTCCCAATCACCGCTGATTGGGGATGAGAAACGATCTGTACCGGCGATGAATGCACGCCGATATCGTCCATTTTTCAATTTTTCGAAAAATTCTTCCGCCGACGCCGTTACCTTTGTATTTTCATACGCCCATGATATTGTTATATTTTTAGTTTTGCAATTGGCATTTTTTACAACCAACCGAATATTGAATAAAAAATCCGCACGAAATATAAATATGTACGTCAAGATAAAATTATTATTGAGAAACAGATCCCCGGCCCGACAAACATTGCATAAAAATTGTATATAGCATTTAATCGTTCCTTCATTAGAGAAGTGAAAGAAGAAGTGAAAGAGATTCATTGATCAATCGAGATCGTCTGGTAAAAATTTATCTAGAGAGAAATATCGGATATCATACCGCGATCGTCTTCTCCGTCCTCGTCGTCAGGGCCAAGGCCGCTACCCGAAGCTTCGAGGTCGTCGCGATTGTCGCTGCCACCTCGGCCGGAACCCTCTAAGGCGTCCTGATCATCCAAGTATAGGTCATCCGGGAAAGTGTTGTAAGTCGAGCTCGCCGACGTCCTCTGTTTGTTGTCGGTGGTCTGTTCCTTCTGAAAATCAGAGAAGATACCAATGTAATTGAATCGATATAGAATACGTCACAATCTCACAGCAGGAGATGTCGTCTGGCGAGACATGTTCTGATGCTCCAGGTCATTGACACGTCTCGTGGAGCGCATCTCGAAGCGGCGAAGCTGCGCGACACCCGAGCTAACGTAATTAAAGGCACGCGCATATCTAAACGTATCCTCTTCGACGCGGCGAGATCTCTGTGACGTGAAAGGGCTCCGTCCCGTGGTTCATTAAATTTTAATTTAACTCCGTTGCAAGAGATAGGAGCGATCTCTTCTCGCTTCCATCTCTCGCGATAGCTCGCTACAAACGGGATTCAGTAATCTAGCATCGTATCGAGCATCACCATGTAAATGCGCGAAATTTCAGGTCCAACGGAAGAGGCAAGTCAAAGAGACAGAGAGAGAGAGAGAGAGAGAGAGAGAGAGGAGCTAAATTCTGACAGAGAGAATGATGGAAAGAAGACGCGGAGGGCTTCGCGATGACGGGGTTCGTGAAGGATCAGCGTGGGTGGCGTGGGTTAACGTTGCTTCGTTCTATTTCTGGAACGTCTTCATCTCTCCTTCCAGTTGCCTGGCACCAAAATAGAAGGATGCGCTCCTTGGCGTCTTCCTCGCTTCGCATCTGATGTTTCGTATCTCTCATCGCGCGTGCTTTTCGCGTTTGATACGAGTACGTACAGTGAACGGGCCGTGAAAGACTCAATTGGATTTCGTCCGTTTTAATTTTGCACCAAAGATACTTCTTCAAGGGCGCACGATAAAACTACGCTGTTAAATTGAGCAAACGGACGGCCGGCCGGTCGGTTTTCCTGCATGTAACAAAGAGTGGCCACGACGAGCGAATGATTGAGGAGGAAACGGTGGAATAGCCCACGCTTCCGGTTACGTGATGTTCGCGGAATGTGAAGTGACGCGCTGCGAGGGACAAGCGGGATTGCCAATATTCCCATCTACGCGATATTGTCGTCGTAAGAAAATTTCATTTTCTGGGTACGATCAAAAGAGAGAGGAAAAAAAGAGTGTAGCGATCTAGAAATATATTACTTTACAAAAACTGATAATGTAAAACGCGCTCGAGAGAACGCACGTCTCACGGAGATTCTAAAATTCACAACCGGATATAGAATGTATACGTCGCAATGATACGCATTACGACAAAAATAACAGGGAGAAGAGTTCTAGGGATGGCGGAAAATATTTTGTCTCGTCGACCTTCTCACGTCAATACTCGCGATTGAATGGCGCTATTAACGAGCGCGTCGCGATCGATAGCACGAAATTCGCTCTCGTATCTTGCTCTGATCCGCCGGGATGGGCGGGCGATTTCCTCCCTTTCGCTTTTCGTCCTGAGAGACAATGAGTGCCCGATGACCGTGGAAAACGCACGTCCAGCACGTCAAATGCGTTGCAGTTTCCGTTTCGTTTCCGTTTCGTTTATACACGCGTTTACCGTGCATTGGCACGGCATGCGGATTCGATACGACGATATTTAAACTAGTTGAAACAGATAAAATATCGAGTTGGGCGACGCTAAACTGTCCGACGTCTGACAAATCGCCGCTGTCTAAGAAATCAATCAAAGAAGCGTTACATCTGAGATTTTTGGCCACCGGGTGGAATCTTTGAAGCTTATGTATTTGGTCTTTATGTTTCGAACTGGGCGCCGATTTGACTTTTATTTTTCAGTCCCATATATCTTGTGCTTTACAAACAAATCTACTCTCAATGTATAATTTATCATTCATTTTATTACACTATGCTTGCTTTTCTATACGATATTAAATTGAAATATTCATTATTTGAATATAAGACAAGTGATTCTTACAACTGTCTATCATCGTTTACCATTTAGAGTGCAGGGAAATCGAAAAAAAGTATGAAAAACGCAAATACGATGGTAATAATTGTCCTCCACGCGTCATTTCCCAAAATGGATCCAGGCGAGAATGAATAAACATGGACGAACGTATTATTTTCTTAACAAAAAAAATAGAACGTATATCACATACGATGCCAATTCGGACTCGTTAGCACTCGCAACGTCATCCACTCTCATCAACGTAGGTTCGTTTATTCGAATTCGTTCACGCTTGGCCTGGACCCACCCTTGGAGGAGTGGCGTTGATCAATCGTCCCTGCAGGTAAACGCGCGTCACGGAACATATAACGACGATTCATCGCGAGAAACAACTAGTTACCCACAACAATGGGGACGTGGGTGTCGAAAGAGGATCCTCGACGAAGCAGAGCAGAGCGAAGAACAGGACCTGGACGTGATGCGTGCAACCAGTCGCGCCGGCGACAGCCGAGTGCGTCGCCCGGTGTATCCGATGAATCGATACCGGCAAACACGAGCGCAGCGTCGACCCGGTCGAACCAAGGGCCGAGACCTTGCAGGCCCTAGAAGGGCGGGATATCCTGTCCAGGATAACGTACGTTTTTCGCCGTTCATCGACCTGATCGCGGAGTTCCTTGATTCTTTTCCTTTCTCTCACGCACCCGCACCCTTTTCTCACCCCCCCCGGGGGAGGGGGAGGGGAGGGGAGGGTCAAGCCACCCTGGTCTTTCTTCTCGTATGTCACGTCTTTCCTGGACGCGATGCTATCGACCTTCTTCCGTGTCGCGTTTCGCTTTCATCACGGTTTCCCATCGCCGAGGGGCGAAACGTCTCGCGAATTCCGTCCCCGTGATCCTCGTTCATCTATCGTGAACGAAAGAAGATCCGGTCATGACGACGAAGGGGTGCGTTCGCTCCTCTCCTCCTTCCACCGCCGAAATTTCTCGTACACAAACGACGAGGAATCATTGCGTATCATCGCGAACGAACCTGTCGATATCTCTGTACTTACCACGTCAGCGATTCGCTTCGGGGAAATTTGACGGATGCACCTAGGCTCCCTGATGGTGGAAAACGAGAAAATATTCGGAGGGTGATGTGCAGCGGTTTTAAGCTAGGTGGTGACTGCACCGACCTAGTACGAGTCCGACTCGGTAGACGGCACTGTCGAGATCCCAGCAACTGTATATACATATAGATGTATATAGATCTATATACATTTGTGCTATGTATATCCACGTAAGACGTTTTTTAAAGTTGGTACAAGACGTCCGAAAAACTTTCCTCTTGATAAATTTAAACTTAATTGTCCCCCGGAGAGGAGATTCCGCTTATCACGTTTTGCATTTCTTATAGTCTCATCTTCTACATATATTCCAATATAGCTAGGTTTAACATATACTTTGTCTTATGTTTTATTTCTGCTTAATGCGTCCTAGCCATTTTGTCATAAATATCATATTTCTTCGGTTAGGCACTTTCAGAAAAAATTTCTAATAATAAAACAAAAAAATTCTTGACGTACTTATGCTCATATTCATAATCAAGCTTTAAATATGAGATATGACTATGAATACGGCATTAATCTCTCGACCTTGGGCCGGCCTTATGCAATATAAAAATAATATTAAAATTAGATCAATAATTCTTATTCTCTTCGAATTAAATAAAAATAACAGATTTATTATTCGAGGAAAGGACAATACATATAAATTTAAATTTATATATTCTTGGTTAAAGAAGGAATCTTTATTCGATGTTGTTGGTCCATGCATTATGCTGACGTCATAATATTTGGAATGAAATCAATGGAAATCATTTTATTCTAGAGAAAGAGAGAGATTTGGAAATTTTTCATTTAAAAGTAAAATATTATTTTGTTAACAATAAATATGACTGTTCTTCTGATCAATCTCATTTTACGATAGATCAAAGAATAGTAGTATTGTGGATCTGAAAATCTTTTCTATGAGTGCATCATAGCATCCCACTGTGCCTTATCTTCGCAAATACTTACTCTATCTTCCATATATGTAAATTACATCCACCTTGTTAATAAATCTTACAAATACGTACGCAATAAAATATTATCGTACGTAATTTTGTGCAATTGCCATGAAAGACATCAGAAGGGGATTTGAAGACAAATGATTAGAATGGACGAATTGAATGACGAGTTGTATTTTCAATGTACACGATCAACGTGCGCGCGGACATGCGCACGATAAATCCATCAAAAGCGAGCTCCGAATGTATTCAATAAGTTATACGGTAAGGCGATTCGATGAATGGTAGGATATTGAAAATCTGCTCTCTATCTGGTTGAGGTAGAACTTGTCGCCCGCGTTTGCGAGCGCACGCGTACCACCTTTCCACACATCGTCGCCTTATTTGAATGGGATGGGATTTTTCATATTGGATTCAAATCCGAGGAACTTAGGTCCTTAACTCAGGTCTGGCTGCCGCGATGCGCGCGTTTCCACGTTCCGTCGTCTAGTGACGTAGGGTTAGGTTCTTCGTTTCTTTCGCTCGCCGGCGCCATCGGTTTACCCGTCGAGGAAAACGATGGTCAACGCTCGAGAAAATGGAAAAAATCGATCGGCTCGAGGCCTACCTTTTCACGACGCGCGCACGTTGACATAATACGGTCTCACCATAGCAGTCGTTGTCGCAATACGTAACAATATGTAACAATGAGATGAGAGACCGAAAAGAGTCCATGCGATAAACAAGTGAACGAAATTCGGATTCGGTCCGCCAATTGAAATAGTCCATTCTCCGGGACTGACTGCGATTCAATTGATATGCGGGCTTCAGCTTCCGCTCGGATCCATCTCGCGAATTCGCGATATTCATCTAGAATATTCGAGGTCCCCGCCCCCTTTCTCGCCCCCTTTCCAAGAGGAATATTCGCCATAGCACTCTGCGATAACGGCGCCGATAGTTATGACAAGAAGACGTGGAACGTACGGCATGCTGCAGGTGAATCGACCTGCGCGCTGCTCTTAGGCGATGATCGCGTTATCTCAAATCGTTGACTCTCGTCATTGTCGTTGTCGTCGATACACGACACGGCGGCAGTGTCGGGACGTGTCGGCAGGAAGAACGATGCTTGGCCGAGCTGCGGTACACCTGAACG